TGGAAATGAGCAAGATGATCCATTAAGAAGTGTTTCTCAGGAGGATAAGGAGCGTCATGTTGTTCAGTTTAATCAGTAATTGCTGGTAATACATCAAAACTCTCCTACTTCTGTTGTTGATTTCAATGGAACAGTAACCGGGTCTGGAAATGTGCAATCGGGTTCTCTGAACCCAACCCCTTTGATGATGATTAGGGATAATATTTCCGAGTCTAGTGCTTCTGTGGTAGGGTTGAATAGGGGTGTAACTCCTAGCCCTAACAATACACCCTTGACATTGGAGACTCCTGTTAATAGGGTTTCGGGGGATTATGGAACTGAGAATGGCAGACGATGGAGTGCACTCTTTAATAATACTAGAGATGAAGGGTTGGATTTGGTGAGTGAGAACAACTCTAAGCAAGTTAATGGAGGGGAGGGCTTAGCAAATGGGGGAATATTACAGCTAACCTCTAAGGATGTTGACTCGGAAATACAGTATTGGAGCTCTGCTTTTATCTGTTATGCCTTGGGGGCTAGGGTGCCGTTTTTGTTATGAATGGATTTGTGAGAAGAATTTGGGGCAGGTTTGGTGTAGACAAGGTCAACCTTCTCCCTAGTGGGGTTTACCTTGTTAGGTTTCGGACTACATAAAGTATGGAGAGAGTTCTGAATGGAGGTCCAGTGATGTTTGATAGTAGGCCTGCTATAATGAAGCGCTGGGAGTCGGGTATCAATTTGGAGAAGGAAGGAGTGATTGAGGTGCCTATTTGGGTTCGGTTACCTGGCCTAAAATTGAAGTTCTGGGGTCAGAATGCTCTTATGAAAATAGGCAAGTTAATTGGGAAGCCGGTGAAAACAGATAAAGTCACAACAAATAAGGATAAGTTGGAGTATGCTAGACTTATGGTTGAGGTTTCTATTGATGGTGATTTCCCAGATGAAATTGAATTCTTGGATGAAACAGGTACTAATATCACGTAGAAGGTTTGTTATGAATGGAAACCTGTGTTGTATAAGACATGTTCTGGTATGGGACATAGTGAGAAGGCATGTCCTTCCCAATGGACTAGACAGCAATTCAGAAGCAGGAGAGTTTATAATAGAGAACCAGTAAGGCAAGTTTGGAGACCGGTCCAGCATCCAAAATAGACCACCTCTCAGAATGGAAGGAATGAGCAACACCAGAAACAGAATGTGACAGTAAGTGTGGATATAGGGAACAGATTTGAATGCTTGTAAGATGAGGAAATTGGGAATGTCAATACTGTGTTGCAAAATAATCAGAATACTATTGACAGTGCTAGGCTGTGGAGAATTGATGAAGGCAGGGTTATGTATGGGGTTATGGAGGAGGGGGAGTGCTCTTACTCTCTTAATGGATAGTGTGGGATTTTGGAACGTAAGAGGTCTCTAAATTTGCCTAATAAAAGGTGTGATGTTCTATGGTTTCTTAGACATCAGAACTTGGGCTTATTTGGACTCATGGAAACAAAAGTAAATAGAAAGAAGTTTGGTTCGGTTTTTAGTAGTTTTGGTGACGATTGGTCTGTAATTGCAAATTACTCTAAGAATGAGAAGGGTAGAATCTGGGTTCTATGGTTTCCTACTGTGTTTCATGTGACTGTGCTCAGGGTGGAGGAACAATTGATCCACATGACTGTGAGGCATAGAGCTTCTAATAGTTCTTTTTTTGTTACTATGGTGTATGGGCTGAATGACCCTAAGAGGAGAACAGATTTATGGAATCAGTTGACTAAGATGACTGAGTTAACTAAGAGGACCTTTGATCCGTGGTTTATTGGTGGAGATTTTAACAATATTTTGAACCTTAATGACAGGGTGGGTTCTCCTTGCACATTCCATGAGGTTGAAGATTTTAGGGAATGTTTGAGAAGGAATGATTTGATTGACTTTAAGGTTGGTGGATTGTTTTATACATGGAATAATAAACAGGAGGGGGAGCATAGGGTTTGTTCGAAGATTGATCGTGTGCTTGTGAATAATAATTGGTTAGGGAAGTTTGGTAAGGCTGTTGCTGTGTTTTTGCCAGAGGGTATTATGGACCACTGTTCGTGCGTGATGAACATCTTTGGCAATAATGAGAAAGCTGTGAAACCGTTTAAGTTCTTTAACCACTGGATAACAGCTCCTGGCTTCATGAGCCTTATTCAGTCTCATTGGGACATTGACATATCTGGTACTGACATGTTTAAGCTGGTTAAGAAGCTGCAGGCAGTTAAGAAGGCTATCAAAGATGAGAATTTAAGTTCCTTATCTTCCATTGAAGCTGCTGATTTGGAAGCTTCTGCTGCTATGATGAAAGCTCAGCAAAAGCTAAATGATGATCCCCAAAACGAGGCTTTGATTGATCAGGAGAAACAGGCCAGACTTAATTATCAAAAAGTGCATGCTGTTAAATACTCATATTTGAAACAGAAGGCTAAACTCAATTGGTTAAAGGAAGGGGATTTGAACACTGCGTATTTTCATGCTCACATTCGAAAGAGAAGATTTCAGAATAGAATTTGTGGTATTGTTCAAGATGGGCAGGTGGTTCAAGAGCCTGATAAGGTTGTGAAAGCTTTTGTTGATTACTATCAGAACCTGCTGGGTTCTAGCCTAGTTCCTGAGAGGATCATTCATATGGCTGTTATTGAGGAGGGGAGGGTTTTGACTCAGGAACAGCAAGAAAGAATTTGTATTCCTTTTGCTGAAGAGGATGTAAAGTCTGCTTTTTGGAGCATAGAGGATGACAAGGCCCCGGGCCCAGATGGGTTTTCAAGTAAATTTTTCAAGGCTACTTGGGATATTGTGAAGAAGGATATCTGTAATGCCGTGTTTTCTTTCTTTGAGCATGGGCGACTTTTCAAGCAAGTGAATAATACACTGTTAACTATGGTTCCAAAAATTGAAGATGCTACTCAGGTTTCTCATTTTCGACCTATAGCTTGTTGTAATGTTGTGTATAAAATCATCTCGAAATTGCTTTGCTCAAGACTTAAATTGGTCCTTCCTGAGTTGATTAGTGAGAATTAGGGAGCTTTTGTTGAAGGGAGGTCTATTCTAGATAACATTTTAGTTTGCCAGGATATGTTGAAGAATTATAATAACAAAAGGAAGGCTCCTAGATGTACTATCAAAGTAGACCTGAGGAAAGCTTATGACTCGGTGTTTTGGGCGTTTATTAAAGATATGCTCATTGCTCTTAATTCTCCGAGGCAATTTGTGGGGTGGGTCATGGAATGTATTTCTACCCCTTCTTTTTCCCTCATGATCAATGGTGGGCCTCATGGTTTTTTCCAGGGGAAGAGAGGCATTAGACAGGGAGATCCTATCCCTCCTCTCCTTTTTGTTATAGTTATGGAGTATCTTTCGAGGCTTCTCAGGAAGGTTGGTGGGCTTAGGAATTTTAAGTTTCATCAGGGTTGTAAATCTCTGGGTTTAACTCACCTAGTGTTTGCAGATGATCTTATGCTGTTTGGACATGGTGATAGACAATCCTTCTCTCTGCTTATTAGAGCTTTAAAAACCTTTGAGAAGGTTTCGGGGCTTGTGGCAAATTCAGATAAAACAGCAGTGTACTTTGGTAGTATGGATGTGAGCTCGAAGCAGGACATTCTGTGTAACACTGGTTTCATGCCTGGGAGTTTTCCTTTTAGATACCTTGGCATCCCTCTTAATGCTAAGTATATGAGGATTTCAGATTTTGACACCATCATTGACAAAATGCTTGCTCGAATTACTTGTTAGTCAAACAGGAACTTATCCTATAATGCTCGGGTTACCCTCATAAACTCTGTCCTTATCAGCTTACATTCTTATTGGGCTTAGTGTGTGCTTATGCCAAAAGGGGTTATTCATAGAATTACCCAATTATGTAGAGATTTCCTATGGGATGGGGCTGCTGTGCTTAGTAGTTCTCCCCCTGTGGCTTGGGATTGGGTTTGTAAGCCTAAGAAGTTTGGTGGTTTGGGCATTAGAGATTGTGCTAAGTGGAATAAGGCTGCTTTGGGAAAATATATTTGGAAAATAGCCAAGAAGGATGACACTCTCTGGGTCAAATGGATTCACAGTATCTATTTGAAGGAGCAGGATTAGTGGAGTTATAGTCCAAAGAGATGTGATGGATGGACTTGGAGAAGGTTGTGTTCTGTGAAGGAAGACTTGAAGCATGGATTTGAAGTTGGAAACGGGGTGAGCAAACAGTATAAAATTAGTGATTGCTATAGTTGGTTACAGGGTGTGCAGAATAGGGTATGTTGGGATAATATAAATGGGTGTGGAATAGGTTTAATATCCCAAAGCACTCATTTATTTCTTGGCTGGCAGCGCAAGGCAGACTTAAAACAACTGATAGACTGGTTAACTTTGGCTGTAACCCTGATACTGGCTGCTTGCTGTGTGGGAATGGCTTGGAGTCTCATAAGCACCTGTTTTTTGAATGTCAGTATAGCAGGCAGTGCATAATGACAGTAGCTTCGTGGTTTGGCATCTCTGAGAAACATTTTAATATGACAGGTTCATGGAAACACTGGTACAGGCAGGGAGATGGATTGGTTCAGAAGGAGACTTTCCTTGCTGCTTTTGCTGCATGCGTGTACTATATCTGGCTGGCTAGGAATCATGCTTTTTGGAATAAGTCAGTGATCTTGCCTAGGAAATCATGTTTCTCGATCTGTATGGAAGTTTGGAGCAGAGTTCAGCAATTGATTGAAGCTTCTTGGTCCAGAAACACTACAACAAAATAGGGCTATAGCAAAGTCAATTTTTGCAACAGTTTGGTTAGCGTTGCTACAACTAGACATATTGCAATAGTTTTTATTTTATTAATGTGATTAGTCTCGGTCTATTAAAAACTGTTGCTATACAAAATATATGGCGACATTTTTTAATGACCGTGTCAAAAAAGGTAAGTGGCAACATTTTACTATCCTAATAAAAAAAATAAAAAAATATAAGGAATAATGTGGGATGAAAACTTTCGCTGTTTATTAAAAACTGATGAAAATTTTCGCTGTTTATTTTTTTCGATAAAATTTTCAGTAGGCGCTGTTTATTAAAAATTGATGAAAATTTTCGCTGTTATTTTCTTGATAAAATTTTCGGTAGCCGCTGGTTTCCCTCATTTTCCCACTGTTCTAAAATTCCCCAAATTAAACCCTAATTTTTCGTTTCTCTATCCTCACTTAACTGACATCTCAAACTACAATCAATTGGTGAATTTCGTTGATTGTTTCAAAGACTCCGCAAAAAGGGGCTGATCATTCAACATTTTAAGGATTATTTCTGCTATCTTCAAGATCGACATAGAGGTTAGTAGTAATTCGGTGTTTCTAATTTTTTTCTATTTGATATTATTTACACAATTCTAAGGTATTTAATTGGGTATACTAGTGTTGATAAGGGAAAATTGGGTTCTATTGATATAAAAATTAGGGAATTTGCATATTTGATGTAATTATAAACAATTTGTATGCATTAATTCATAAAGTTGTTTATCAATTTCTAATAAAATCGCGTGATATAGTTTTATTAGATGGGAAATTCGTATGATATTTTCGGATAGTGTTTGTGATTTTTGTTAGATGGTTTAATTACATCATAAAAGCTATCGAATTATTAATGGGTTTATTAGCTAAATTGTTTTATGGGTTAGATGGTTAATTATCTTTTTAGATACTAGCAGCGAGTAGGAGAGTGAATTGATCTAAAAGCTTTTGTTAGGTTGTGTTTTTTTTTTTTTTTTTTTTTTTTTTTTTTTTTTTTTTGACGCATTGTTAGTTCAGCAGCAAGTTTTGTGATGTGAATGTCATTCAAGCTTGATTGAATTTGAAAGACAAATCATGAATGTCATGGAAAGCACTGAAAGGTCTTTAATTGTTGGGTACTAACTAGCTTCTCAGGTGCACTTATGTGCTTGATTCGATTTTGTGATATCTGAAGATCCAGATAGAAGCATTCTCTGAATAACCTTTAATTTATGTCCACACTATCAATTGTCCTTTTTTTCTGGCAGGTTGCTGCATTCTCTGGATTTTAATGAAACAAAGTAGTTCTATGAATGGTGTATAAATAGTACTTGTTAATTGTTGCACAAAACAAATAGTTCTATGAATGTTGTATAAATAGAGAGAGTGATGTTGGCTCCTAATGCAAAAGTCAAGCAGAGTAGATTATCACCGAGAAATGCTATGTGTGATCCTCTCTAGACAAATCCTGTTATTTAGCCAAAAAAAATGCATAGAAAACTAAATTTCCTCTTATTCATGTACATTTGGAGTTGTGCTAATAACCAGACAATTCATAGACCATTTTTCTCGTAGAGCTGCTTTGTGAACTGATATTTTTTTTTGCTATAGTTTGAAATTGAAATGGGTTAATGTCAAAATTGCGGTTTCTGCTTGAACCTCTCAAGTTTGTTACTGATGATGGGACCCCATGGAGGAGAAATCTGCTGTTGTTAGATTGAGTGACAAAATTAACAAGTCAAAACGCAATAAGTTGTGGAGGAAAAGGAAGAGACGTCGTGTTGCTGAATCACTTGCTAAGGTTGCTTTTTATTGCTGATATCAGGCTATTTACCTGAATTACAAGTTTTGGAGTATGTTTATGTTACATGATTTTCTTAATGGTTAACAGGAGGAGGAGCAATTCAAGAAACTTGACCGAGAAGCTGATGAATGGAGGGCTAAAGAAATTGCCAAGGATATGGCAGAACAAAAGGTACCATTTGCTGCATTCACTTGCCATGTATAAATGGGACTGTTAGTTGTTGGTTTAGACTATTCTTATGCATTCTGTGCCATTTAATTCATAAAAAGTAGGCCTTAAGGTGATAGAGGTTCATATGAACTAACATATGGTGAATCTAATTTCTAATGACATTGTTAGTATTCTGTGGTAGGTCTTTTACTAGTAAAAAAACTACCTAACTTAGTCTAATTGTCACCACTAGCACCATCAAAAGAACGTGCACCTCCTACAGCATCAATTTCATCAAAGAAAAGTATGCAGGCCTTTTTTGACTTAGCCATCTGTAACAATGCATACATGTATAATTTAGCAATAAAGCAACTGAACAAGAAGGGAACGCACTGGTATTAATTAATTTTTTGTCATCTTAACATAGTGCATACCTTAAATATATGACAAACCATTGCAGCACCCCGACCCGTTCTCCTGTAGATAAGTTGAGTTCCATTTACACGAATGAAGCAGGCATCAGTTCCGTTAGCCATAGCTCTGGCTATGAGTGTTTTCCCTGTCCTAGGAGGACCATAAAACAAGAATCCTTTAGGAGGATCGACCCCTAGAGCGACAAATTTATCTGGGTGAAGCATGGGTAATTCAACAACCTGCAAACAGAAACATAGCTTAAGGAATACTAAAATAGAAAATTTGAGTAAACTTTTATTTAAAAAAAAAAAGTTAAGAGAGACTTACTTCTCGGACCATTTGTATCTGTTCTTTGTAGCCACCAATATCATTGTATGTTACATCAGGCTTCTCCTTCACTGTCAACAAAGATGCATCGGGATGAATTTTAGGAGATAAGGGTATCTGTATCTTGGGCTTCATTCTAGTAATCCTGTTAAAATAAGCACACCAACTTACCAGTGAGTTTATGTGTCTAAGATGGATTTTTAGCTGATATAATTTCTGTGATCATGGACTTTTGACTTGTTGTCTGCATCTGATGATACTTGTCAGTTTTTTGCGTGTTTGTAATGTGGTTTTACATATAGCACATTGTATGTCTTGTATGATTCACTTGCATTATCAGAATTGACTCTCAAATTTCTCGCGCCTCTTAGGGTATGATTTTCACATGTTTTGTTCAATTGCTGAAAATAGTGCAATTTTATGTTGTCTTCATGAATTATTCTTGTTTAGATATTTTTTTCATAAATCTTGGTGGTGATACACTACCATGGAAACATTGCATGCAAGTATTTTTAGGATACACAATGGCAGAAGGTGATTGCCCAGGGCCTTGAATGGTAAATAACATTGTGGTTAGCAAAAGAAACATTTTAATGCTGTTTAGCCTAGCTAATTGGCAATACAGTTTGGAGCTTTTGACGATGTGTTTGAAAATTAGACTAATAAGTAATAACCTTGATGAGCTTTATTCTTACCTGAATTTGTTATTTCAAAACATTGCTTATGGTGTGTGCATCTGCTCAAGGATATGAGCTACTTATGCCAAAATTACTTTTATTTTCTCTGTTGCCTTAAATTATTTGAATAAATTTACAATTTTTTTTTGGGATTGTTAGACATGTTGGTTATTTATATAATCTAGATTGTGAGCCTGTTTATAATTTCCAAATGGGAAAGATTAGTAACATTAGTCAGTTCCCACTTGCCTATAACTGCTAATTTATGATTTTCTTAGTGTTCTTTTTTTTAAAAAATGGTAGAACTGGGTCTTATACGAGTGAATGAGTGATGGAATAAGTAGAAGTTAATTGGCTTAAAGGCTGTAATTTAAATAAGTTATTCTCATTCTTGTTAAGCAGCAGCTCCGTTTCAGCGTGTTACTTACTTAGCTTGCAGCATGCGTGTGCCTGTTTTTGTTGTTGTTTGGATTTGTGTTGGCTGCTGCCTGTATTGGCTTCAGGGTGCTGCTGTGTTTGTGGCCTGCTTGGGTTCAATTGCTGTTCTTCTTATGTTGATGTATGCTGTTGTAGCTAATCTGCTAGCTTCCAATTTTTCTCTCCTATCTTTCTCTTCTTATTCTCTTTTCTTCTCTTCTTTTTCTCCTCCTCTTCTCTTCTTCTCTTCTCTAGCTGCTGCCAAGTTTCTTTCTTCTCTAGCTGTTGCTAAGTTTCTTTCTTCTTTGGTTGCCTGTGCTGCTGTGTTTGAGGTGGGGTATTGCCTGGTTTCTAAGGCTCCTGCCTGCCAGTGTTTTTTTTTTTTTTTTACGACTGCTGGTGCTGTCAGTTTCTGCTTTTCTGCTGCTGCCTTGTTGTGTTATTGTATGCTGCTGTAGCTAATCTACTAGATTGCATTTTTTATCTCCTCTCTTTCTCATCTTATTCTCTTTTCTTCTCTTCTTTTTCTCCTCCTCTGCTCCTCTTTCTTCTCTGGTTGCTGCCAATTTTCTTTCTTGTCTGGTTGCCTGTGCTGCTGTGGTTAAGGTGGGGCGTTACCTGGTTTCTAAGGCTACTGCCTGCTAGTGTTGTTTTTTTTTCTTTTCAAGACTGCTGGTGCTGTCAGTTTCTGCTTTTCTGCTGCTAGCATCTGTCTTTCTGTCTGTGGGGCTGCTGGTTGTTGTCCTGTACTGTTGGCAGTCCTGCTAGGAAATGGTGCAATTTGGAGATATACTTTGCTCCTGTTGTGCTTCTACTTCTTGCTGATTTGTTGCTGGCTTTGGCTTCCTTTGTTGCTAGTGTTTTGATAATAATGTTCCATAAATAATTTATTTGAGATTTTTTTTTAATTAAAAATATATGTCTTATTATTATTGTTGTTGTTTTGCAGGATACTATATATATCCAAGTATGAAGTGCTACATCAAACATCTAAAGATTTATTGGACTTTGAGCAAAAATATTAGATTGGTTTTGAATTTGGTTTTGGAATTTTTATTAGTTTAATATATGAAATATTTAGATTGAATTTGTTTTTGTTGCTTGTAATAAATATTTAGCTTATCAATTACAATGGATTTGAATTAACTACGTAGAAATTTTTATGGAGAACTTATTTCTAAGTGAAAGTTTATCGATCATATGCTATTTAAACAAGTCACTTATTATATGCATTATTAAATCTATTCCTTTAATGCCAAATTAAAAGCGTTGCCATTAACAGGTTTAAAAGTGTCGCCTTAGTTTCAATTGGAAGCATTGCCATAAACAAAATAAAGTGTTGCCTTAATTTTAAACGCCAACTAGTATCAAACTAATAATTGTTGCTTAAAATTAGCAAAAATTGTTGCTTTAACTTTGAAAATGTTACCTAAAGTTGTTGAATAAGTGTTGGCATAAGTTAAAAAGTGCTACCTTAGAAAAGCGCTGCCATAATTATTTACAGCAATAGTTTACAATAAATGTTTCCTAATGCATGAAAGTCGTTGCCAAAGAGTTTTAGCAACGACACCTATTGGTAACGGTTTATAATCCGTTGCTATAGGCATATGGCAACATTAATTGGACATATGGTAACAGATTATTGTTGTTGCCGTAAGTCTTTTTTCTAGTAGTGAAACCAGTCAAATGGGTGCAGGCTCTTAAAAGCATAATGCCTGCTGGCTGTTAGCTACTGTTCTGGGGCTGTTCCTGAGTCTGTGTTGTTGTTACTGTTTTTATTGTTTAGTTGTTGTGGTCTTAGGCAGCTTGGTATTTAGTTCTGGTTAGTTCTTTTTGTCCTAGTCCAGGTTTGGATTACCCTTCCTAGAAGGTGCCTCCTTCTTGAGGCTAGGTAGGTCCCCTTCCCTCTCTGTGGCACCCTTCCTAGAAGGTGGCTTTTGAGAGAAGAAGGTGTTTTTGGGGGTTGGTTGGTTTTTTGTTTTTGCTTGGTCAACTTTCGGTTTTGTAAGTTGTAATTCTTTATTCTTTGTTAATATATTTCTTAATTCCCAAAAAAAAAAAAAATTAAAACACATGTATAGGGAATTCAAAGCCAATCTCCAACGTGCTTGATTCCCATTGCCTCGACATGCTTGTTGTGCTTCACTTGAGGCAGAGGTTTAGTCAAAGGATCGACCACATTGTCATTCGTTCCGATCTTACAAATTGTGATTTCACCTTCGGATTCCCATTCCCTTATCATGTGAAATCGCCTTTGGACATGTTTAACCTTCTGGTGCTCTCTTGGCTCTTTGCCTGAGCAATAGCTCCATTATTGTCACAATAAAGATCTATTGGAACCTTGATTGAGGGTACAACACCAAGTTCACTAACGAACTTACGAATCCAAACTGCCTCCTTAGCTGCTTCCGAAGCTGCCAAGTATTTGGCTTCAGTTGTAGAATCTGCAGTGGTGCTTTGCTTGGCACTCTTCCAACTAAACGCTCCTGCATTTAGGCAAAATATGTACCCTGACTGTGACTTGAAGTCGTCTCTGTCAGTCTGGAAGCTAGCGTCGTTGTAACCTTCAACAACCAAATCTTTGTGGCCACCATAGACCAGGAATTTATCCTTGTTCCTTTTCAGGTACTTTAGGATATTCTTGGCCGCAGTCCAATGCGCCTCTCCTGGGTCTGATTGGTATCGGCTCGTAGCACTTAAGGCGTACGATACATCACGCCTAGTACATATCATGTCATACATGATCGATCCAATTAGCGAAGCATATCATGGCATACGTACTGTGCCTCTTCTAAGTCCGTCATTGAAAAGCACTTTCCTAGCCAGCCCTTTATGGACTCTAATAATTTTGTGCTGTTTCCAATGAGCAATATGTCATCAACATACAGGACTAGGAATGCGATGTCACTCCCACTGACCTTCTTGTAAACACAAGACTCATCTGGATTCTTGATAAAACCAAATTTACTGATGGCTTCATTAAATCGCAGATTCCAACTTCTGCTTGCCTGCTTCAGTCCATAAATGGACTTCTTAAGCTTGCATACCTTTCCAGCATTGCTTGGATCAACAAAACCTTCCGGCTGTGTCATGTACACAGTTTCTTCCAAAATCCCATTAAGGAAGGCGGTTTTGACGTCCATTTGCCATATTTCGTAATCGTAATATGCCGCAATTGCTAGGACGATCCGGACGGACTTAAGCATTGCGACTGGCGAAAAGGTTTCATCATAATCAATCCCGTGGATTTGCCTGTAACCTTTTGCCACAAGTCTAGCTTTGTATATTAATACATTTCCATCATTGTTTGTTTTCAATTTGAAAATCCATTTGCAACCGATGGGTGTGTAACCTTCGGGCAAATTTACCAAGTCCCAGACTTGATTTTCAGACATGGAGTCCATCTCAGATTTCATGGCCTCTTGCCATTTAGCAGAGTCAGGGCTCGTCATAGCTTGTTTGTATGTCGCTGGCTCATCTCCATCCATGACTAGGATGTCCTGATCTTCAGTTAAGACAATACCAAGGTATCTGTCTAGTTGAGATCTTGGTCGTTGCGACCTACGCAGGGTAATAGGTTGAGCATTTACATTGTCTGTTTGATTCTGACCAATCTTATCAACTGCTTCTAAAGCATTTTGATTGTCAGTTTTATCAGGTTGACATTGTTGCTCGTCCTCTCGAACTTCGTCGAGTTCGATTTTCCTCCCACTTGTCATTTTGGAAAGGTGTTCCTTCTCCAAAAAGACACCATCACGAGCAAGGAACACTTTGTTCTCGGATTTATTGTGGAAGTAATACCCCTTGGTTTCTTTTGGGTAGCCCACAAAGAAACACTTGTCCGATTTTGGGTGAAGCTTGTCAGAAATTAAACCTTTGACATATGCTTCGCAACCCCAAATCTTAAGAAAAGACAACCTTGGAGGCTTCTTAGTCCATAATTCATATGAAGTCTTTTTGACAGCTTTAGACGGAGCACAGTTCAGTGTTAGTGCCGCAGTTAGTAGCGCATGTCCCCAGAAAGAGAGAGGAAGTTCACTAAAACCCATCATTGCTCGAACCATGTCTAACAAGGTTCGATTTCTCCTTTTGGATACTCCGTTCCATTGAGGAGTTCCAGGAGGTGTCAGCTATGAAAGAATGCCATTTTCTTTCAAGTGATCGTCGAATTCATGGCTCAAATATTCGCCATTTCGATCCGATCAAAGTGCTTTTATCCAAATTGATTCTCAACTTCACTCTGAAATTCTTTGAATTTCTCAAAGGATTCAGATTTATTCGACATAAGGTAAACATAACCATATCTACTCTGAATTGTCTTAGTTTTGTCAGCGGTATCAACATTTGTCTAATCATATGTAAAAATATGCAATTTCCATTGAACATATATAAACAGGACATTTTGAAACAACTATTGTCAAAGTCTTACGATCAAAATAACTTGGTGTCCAACACCATAGATCATAGTATGTTCCAAAGCATGATGAAACTAACATTAGTTTAATTACATGTCATAGACAAAATAAATGTGCCTACAAGCACGACCAAAAGAGCATCTTTGTCGTCCGCTCGTAGTTACACATCCACTTGTGAAGCCCTCTCACTTGGTTCCTGAAAAGGCAACGTAAAGTGAGTCATATTTGGTATCCAATACCTATGAATAGCTTTTATACAAGTGTTAAGGAAGATACCTGAGGCAGACGCCACATTCCTCTCTTCCTCCTCCTTTCGGAAGAGCTTGCATTCCCTCTTGTAGGGGCCTTTCCCACCACAATAGAAGCACCACATCTTTGCCTTGTTCTTGAACTCCCTTCTCCTTGATCTCAAGGGCCTCTCGGTCACTCCATAGGCGGTGGCTCGGATAAGTAGTTGCACCACCTCCATTAAAGAGCGTGTCTCCTTTCCCGCAGCTATATGCACTCTAAGTGCATCATAGCCCTAGTGGAGCAAAGCAAGCAAGATATGCCCCGCCATCTCATCCTCCAATGAGATTCCGAGAACCTGCATGTGTTTGAAGAGCCTAGTCATTCCAAGCACATGAGGTCGAAGGGGCATGCCGGGTCTCAATTTGGTATTGTAGACCTTTGTCCAAAGCCGACGCCTTTCCTTAGCAAGACAACCCACATTTGGTGGCTTTATTTTCATGTTTGAGAGTGACCTAGTCAAATCAAACACGAGTCCATCATAGTTGCCATTTTCACTCTTGGTGACTCTCACATTGACAACGTCCTCAAGGGCTTTGAGGAACATGTCCGGAAGGTAGGAAGAAAGGCTTTCCTTCCAATCTTCTGAGATGGAATTAGCCATAAGTCGTGAGACTTTCTTGCAATTGGAAGACCATTCTTCATGAGCCTCATCGGTCATGATCCCTTAGAGAAGAAGCTTGGAATGGGAGTGTCAAGAGTGTACTCCAAGGAACAATTCCGAAGAGTTTTCCTGAGTTCCTCCTCCCACTCCTTGAAGTTGACCAAGTTAAGGCAAAAAGCCAACTTGTCGGGGAGTTCCGGGCACATAGAATTGTTGTTTGAGTTACTTGCAGACATGGTTCTACAATTGAAAGAATTTGAAATGAAAAACCATTCATATAACCAATAAGTTTGAATTTAATAGCGTTCATGCAAATTTTCAATCTTATTGAGCATTTTATCCACGCATTAATAATTTGTCCCTTTTGGCGAGAATAAAATGATTCCAAGATCCCAAAACTCAGAAAGTGAATAAGCATGCTTTGGCTTGTCTTAACACTTAATATTTTAGGGTAAGCAATCTAATTGCTAATAGCTCTAAGCTACTCTCGGTTTGATAAAACGTCGCATCTAATGCATTCTTGACATTTTATCTCTTTCGCCACGACATCTAAGGACTCCTTACTGATATCGTTGAGCTTAACCAAGATCAACCCGTATACCTAGTATGCCTTACGTTCCTAGGGAAGTAGTGATGCCTCACTTTGGCGTAGCCCATCACGTACGTGCATTAGTTCGGTAAGTGTTGTTCTGGGAACGACAAATTTTTAGCTCAATATTTTAGAGACCTATGGTTTCCATGTTGGTTGATTTAAGTGAACTTAACTAATCATCGCAACATTTGAAATCCTAGACATGCATCTAACATTCAAATATATATATATAAGCACAATAATATATATA